TTTCCATTTCATTCGCAATAAATCAGTTGTCTCTCACATGTGCGAGTACACATGAGAGTGGCACACAACATGTGACTTTCTAATAATTTCCGATAATAATAGATCAAAAAGGAAAATATATACATATTGCGATATATTGATATATATGTATATAAAATTGCGAATTTCAACGCAGCCTGAACAGAAAGTGTTAATAACCTTCAGACCCAGTTCAGCTAATATAAGATTAATTTTAATCTCGATTTTATTTTTCCCTTTATCTTTTTCTAATTCTAAGAATTACTAATTCCAAGGCCCAGTTTCACAACTCACAACTCACGATTAACTCTTAACCGAGGTTCAATTTATTTCTCATCTCTTTCCAACAGGCCTAAGAATTAGAAAAAGATAAACGGTGAGATGTAACCCAGATTAAAATTGATCATGGAACTGGGTCTTGTCTGTTTCTATCAATGACTACATTTCTCACTGGGCTTAATCAGGTTTAATAATATCCATAATCATGAAACTGGCCAATCACAGTCGTTCCATTCTTCCGAAGAACAGCTATGATTGGCTAATTTCATAACTACGGATGTTATTAAACCCAATTAAACGTGTTGTATAACAGAGGTTTAAGTATGTACATTAACTTTAATCTCGATTTACTCTATCTTTTTTTTAATTTTTCATTGGTGGAACTGGGCCTAAATGACATAAAAAAAGCATCATTAGTCTAGCTGGATAAATAAATAACATGAGAGATAAATCTGCCTTTAGATCGTAAGTTTAAGTTTATAATAATATAGTAAAGGTATAATCGCCTATCACGGAGTAATGCGAGCTATTCGTCCATCTCGACACAACAATGGCCGCCCCCGTGGTTACGTGTACATGCAGAACCTGCTCGAAGGCTCGCGTAACACTCGAGAGAATCTTCAACGTGTTAGACACATACGGCTGGTTGTTAGACTCGTATGTCGTGGTACGTAATTCAGTAATGATAGCTTTAGCATCGCACAGCATTCTGGAGCGTTTCTTGAACTGCATTTCTCCCTTTCTCAACCTAATTGCATACATGTGTTGATGTGTCATCGTAAATACACCTAATACATATTTCACGTATCTTTCGTCTGTCATCTTTCACTTGACTTTTTGAGAACAGCATATTGACCTCGAAATTTGACGAATCACATTGTAGGATTTCTTCCAAGAGCAATTGTGGAAGAGACTGCCGAACAGCTGGAGGACCACTTTGCAAACCGTGTCGCCCGACGAATTCGGAAAGTGGTTAGCTGGCGACATCTCGTGGTAAGCGCGAGACTTCACATCGGTCGGCAAGCGCGAGGAATCGTTTTACCGATTGACTTCAAATTCATTCGAATTGTGTCCATTTTTTTGTCCATTTCTGCGCATGTAGATTAATTTTAATCTCTGTTTAATTTACTCTTTATCTTTTTCTAATTCTTAGAACTAGGAAAAGATGAAAAGTAAATTTAACCAAGATTAAAGTTAATCTATATCGGTTAGAAACGGGCATATGTAAATTAACTTTAATCTCGGTTTAATTCACTCTTCATCTTTTCCTAATGTCCATTTCTACCAACGTAGATTAATTTTAATCTCGGTTTTACTTACTTTTTATGTTTTTTTTTAATTTCTTAAAACTAGGAAAAAATAGAAAGTAAGTTAAACCGAGATTAAAGTTAATCTGAATTGATAGAAATTAATATGAACATAATACATATATATTTCTCAGAGTTAGAAAGCGACAAAAAGTAAGTTAAACCGAGATTAAAGTTGAGATTTGTGACAATTTTAATCCTTTTCATATAGCACAATATATTTGCTGCAACATTTGCAATGTTATTGTAATTGCTGAAACGTTGTAATATTTCTGTAATATTACTAGAATGTTTAATTTATGCTGGATATAAAACATGAATCTGCAAATACATCTCAAATTCAAATATAATTAACACGAACGAGGAGTGTATCATATTTTTGTGGGCTCTCTGCCTATAATTTTACAATGCAATTCGTTTTACAGCTCACGCGTATGGCCATTGTCGTTGCTGACACTTCGACAGGTTGCAAAAAATTTGCAGCTAAATAGAGATCATCAAAATGACAAAAACGTCTGGCGATGCAATGGAAGAAAAAAGACTGAAAATAGTTCGGAAAATTTTGTCTTGGAATGTAAAAATGAAGGATTACATGATTCCCGGAAAAAACATAATCTCTTTTTGAAACACGTTAAAATAAAAAAACGTCATGAGATACAACAGATAGCGCGGGTATATAGCTACACATATTTTTCAGTTCTTAGCGGAAAATCATTATGGCATCAAAATAACATCAAAATGGTTTTTAAATTATTATTAAGTCATTTTTCAATCAGTCGGTTCACATTGACGTTATTTTGCTTGGGATTGTGTTTTAGATTAGACGCGAGATATTTATAAACCCTAAGAGATTTATCTTTATAAGAGGTTTATCTTTGCATAGGTATGCGCAGACTGTGCACAAGAGTCCAACGCTGAATGCATTGTAGATGTCGGAGCAGGCGTGGGTCATTTAGCCAGATCTCTAGCATTTAAATACGATCTACATGTAATATGTATTGAACAAGACGCATTACTGTCGCAGCAAGCCAGGTAATCCGTATTTCTTTTTTTACTCTAAGCAATCTCGCTGGTTTAATTACTACCCAGAATATAAACTGGACAAGGAAATAACATTACCTCGCTGTTATAATTTCTTATTTACCATTACGTATACTATACGTTATATATTACATTTATATTATATTATATTTATATCGCTGAGTAGGAAATAATAATATTGATATAATATTACTTTCAGATTGTGTTCTGCGAATAGCAATCTTATTATTCCTTTACTATTATTTATCTGTCATTTTAATTACAGAAAATGGGATAAGGAATTGTTAGTGTCTCTATCTAAACATCTGCCTGATTTGCCAGTAAATACGCCACAACACATATCAATCAAACTGGAAGATACTGATTCTGATTTATCAGGAACAATCAAGGATATAAGAAGAACTTTCTCCGATAATTTTAATTTAAATAGCAAGAAATCTGGATTTGGTATTGTGGGGCTGCATCCGTGTGGAGATCTTGCAGCCACGTTACTGAGACTTTACGCATCTCAATGTGAGACAAGATTCATTTGTATTGTGGGGTGCTGTTACATGAAGTTGACATTAAAGTACGTTTATCAGATACATTATAAAATAACGCTTATGAGATTACGATTGTACTAAATAATGTGATACATTTAGAAATCCAGCGGATGTTTCAAATGGATATCCACTCAGTAAATATCTGTCTTCATTCACAAAACACAAATTGTCCTATACAGCGTTAGAAGTGGCATGTCATGCTATTGAGAGCTACTGTGACAAATTAAAGACTGGGAACTACGAAGATTTAATAGTTAAGTATTGTATTAAGGACGACTTCGACTGAATTCCGATTAACTTAATTAGCGACTAATTGAACCGGCAAAATCGCTCAAGATAAAATTTCTAATATACAGTTCGTTATTCTTAATCTTTTCTTTAATATATGAAACATAATTCTATTGATTCAATAGTTTTATTACTTAATAAAATATTGTTGATTAATAGCGTTTTTAGCCCTATCGGGTTTGCATCAACCTAGGTTGAATTAATGACGTTTCGTGCTCTCCTATTGGTAAAGCATGTAACGTCAACCAAGTTAATTAGAGTTTGATCGCAGTTGCCCTAAAGCATCATAAGTTTGATATTTGAACTGGATTTTTTTGTTTAGGTGCACGCTTATAGAGCCGCTTTAGAAACCGTTCTAGTAAAACAAAATAGCCAGCTACGTCATACTCAAGTGAGGAACGTCAAAGTGACGAGACCTGTTACGTTTGAACAGTTGAGTAAAATTATGATTATCAAAATTCTGTGTATTATTATAGCGATAATTAAATAAGTTTTTTTTTAGATATTGTATGGCCGCAACTGCAGATTTCGAGCCAAATCTCCGACCTAAAGATTCAGATTTTCAAAATCCGCAAATAAAATGTTATCTAAATCAATGGCGGCAGATTGTGATATTCGGAGCGTTGCGTATAATGATAGCACCATTAGTGGAAACTGTGGTGTTGTTGGATAGATTCCTGTATCTATCCGAAAATAATTTCACTCCTATATTAAAGCCTGTTTTCAATCCCAGATTGTCTCCTCGAAATTTTTTATTGTTATCGATGAAAAATACTGAACAATCGCTCTCTTGATTAAGTCTAAAAATTTTTATACCTTTTATCACAATAAAATTTTAAAGATTTAATTAAATCGAATATTATTGTTTTAAATAAAAAGTGTTATTTTTTTCTAGAGCTCTGAAGTAAATCTTTTAAAAATTTTTATTCAATTTAATTAAAGATAAACCTTTTTCAAATTCAAATTATTTTCTTGAATGTAACATATTTTGATAGAAGATTATACATTTGACTTCGTAAATTTAAATTTTTTGAAAATTAAACAATTAAACAATTGATACGCGCTACAGATTTAAAACTGAATATAAAAATTGAATATGCATTTTTACTTTAACATTATAAAATTTCATTTTTTAATTAGACAACCAAACAATTGACACTCTAGATTTAAATTTGAATATGAAAAGTTAAATATGCTTTAATGAAAGATATCGTAGAGATTCGGTAAGTAAACTGATTGGATTACATTCAGAAAGTGTATTTTGTTTGCCCGATACACATTGCGATAGCGCGCATTCCGATATTATCTCTCATGAAAATTCAGTGGATTCGCGAGATCCAATGGGAGCGAGCGGCACGTCGCGCGAGCGAGTGACGGGCCAATCGGAGCGCGATACTCCGGCGGCGTTTGGCGCGCACAACGGCGGCTTAATGACGGCCACGCAAAGCGTTCCGTGGCGCCACCGGCAGGGCGCGTCGCAGTAGCCGGTTGCCAGTTCGCACGAACCGTTGACGTCCTCCGGCGAGATCCAGTTTCCTTTAAGCCGCTCTCGCGCGTTTGTCTGTTCTCGCCGCGTCGTGTGTCCTACCGATTATTATTTTCTCCTCCTCCCCCCTTCCCCGTCCGCGTGCACGAAGATTGTCGGCACGGTGTTAAAAGGTATATCACGAGCGGTATACACAACACGCTCGTGTCGTTGTCGTCGTCGTCGTCGTCGTCGTCATCGTCGTCGTTGTCGTCGCTGTCTCGCTATCGCTGTCGCCGTCGTGCAGCGCCGAGTGTCCCGATTCAAACGTATCATCGCCCGGTATATAACGGAGGATGGCATTCAACGGAGACGGTCCTCACTCCAAGAGGCAGCGGCTCGAGGAATCTGGACACAGGGTGAGTGCGCGCGCCAATCATTATCACGCGTCGAGTCGCGACGCGACGCGACGCGACGCATCCCATCCCGTTTCGTCGCGCCGCGCCGCGCCGCGACGCGAAGCGACGCGACGTCCGACTCCACGTTCTCTCGATACTCCGCTCGGCGAGACGAAGCGCGACGCGACGTCCGACTCCACGTTCTCTCGATACTCCGCTCGGCGAGACGAAGCGCGACCCGCTCGCGAGCGAGGAAGCGCGTCGCCATTTATCGGCATAATGATCGCGGGGGGCACGGCCGACGGCCGACGTCTCTCGTCTCGCCCTCGCCGTCGAGTACGCGAGTTTCGTGGAGACGCGCGGGGCGCCATTTACCTTTACTCCGCGAGCTCCTGACATACGGCGTGAACGCCGTGAACGTATGTACTCCGTGACGCGCGACGCGCGTCGCCGGCATGCTCCATGCTCGGCCGACAGGCCGACTCGCTCGCGTCCGATAACAGTCGGGCGCGTTCGCTCGCCCGTCGGACTCCGACAAATCAAATTGCGAGTCCGACGCTGATCGGACGATCGCTGCTCCGCGTTCGGCATTCGTTGATTCGGTCGCTCCGCCGAGCGCGAGTATCACAATGCGTCCCCTTCCTCTCTCTTCCCCTCCCCTCCCCTCCCCGCCCCTCCTCCCTCTCCTCCCCTCTCTTCCCCGCTGCGAAAGACGCGGGGTCCGTCCTCGCGTAAAATGTCCGTCAGTCTTTTAAAACCCGCGGGAATTTTATTCACTCGAGGATTGCGCCAATGAAAGTTTTTGTTTCCAATATCGGTACTCAAGGAATACACAAAAAATTCAATAAAAAGTCAAAATGATTTTATTTTAATTCTTAACGTCAAGAAACAAACACACACACAAGTCAAGTTTTGTAATAAAAAATCATCATTTTGACTTTTACGAGATGAAAATGAAGTCATTTTGACTTTCTCTTGATTTGATGTGTTTTTTGGTTAAATTTGTAGGGATGCGTCATCTCTCCTTGTCATTGTGCTTCTTGATTACAAATTACGAATCAAGGTTTGTGGCTTTTTGCATTTTTAAAAATATTCTGTGCGAATTGTAGAATTCTCGTTGAAATACTTAATTGTTTAGAACAGCATGAGCAATTTGAATGTGAAAAGAATGTATGGTGACTGCTAATATGTTGCTCCTTTATTTCAAAAGTGACAAACTTAAGCTTCTCAAGAAAGGAAGGAAACTCCTTTTTAACTTGACAGAAAATTATTGACTAATCAAATGATCAAAAATGACATTTGATTATGCTAAGAATATAATATGATATATTCTACTACAGAGGAATATAATACACAATATATTCTACATATAATATAATATATTCTTAACATGATCAAATGTCATTTTTGTTATTTTCATTTCAGATGTTATGTTGGATATAAAAGGAGCATGGCAATCTTGAGTCAAAAAGGGAAAAAATCACCCTTTTTGAGTTGTGACGATTTTGATGATATTCCTTTAAACCATATTTTTTAATTATGACGTTTGGGACAATTTTTTACAAAATTAAGTTTGTGCACTTTTGATGATTGTTAAGTTAATGTTTATCCGACTCTCATTTATGATGTAATTCGAAAGTCATGTTTTTTTAATCGTGTCAATGTTGAAATCAAGGAGCGATTTTTCCAACTACTTTTTGTATTGCACAAATTTGTCAATGAATGAGAGAAAATGTTCTGAAAATGATACGAGAAAATGATTTCGCGTATATACAGGGTGGGCCATCTATTGGTACGTTTTTAAAAATGCGATCAAATGAGCATACATTATTCAATGAATGAGAGAAAATGTTCTGAAGATGATACGAGAAAATGATTTCGCGTATATACTTGATAGAAAACCGAGAATTTTGTTGTCGAAAGTTACGAAACGGAAAACAACTTTTGCACGTCAAACAAGACACTGTATTCAATTTTTGTCTTATCTAAAAGATACATATAAAGCACTGTATTTTATTGCACATCTTTTTAGTCATGGATTCTCTTACAAAGTCAAGTTTTTCTTCAAAAAAAAAAAACAAACAAACAAAATCTATAATTTGAATAATAAACGATAAAGGACAAGATGAGCTGTTTGAAAATCAAGCTTTTAACGTGGAAATGTGCGAATAGCAAAATCTTTTTCGATTAATTTGAATTAAACCCCAAAAAATATTATAGCTGAATAATTCTTATTATTGAAAAGTGGATTTCGAATTGATCGGAAAAGTTTCTAATCTATTATAATATCATTGTACTACAATTCTAAGAGGGATAATCCTTGTATTATTTACAATAACATTAGGGTGTATATAGATTTTTCTCTTACGTCATTTATATTTCAATTTAACATTCTGTGCATTATATCCAAAGAGGCGATAACAAAGTAATATGCTACAGAACCAGATTGACTCCCGCCGAATGCATTGGAAAGCTAATTTCGTATTTGTTAGCTTGCTGCGTTCGCTTCAATGCGCTCGCATTTCGATATCACGTGAAATATTTATTAGCGCGATTTACCTTGTTTATTCCTGCGCTTTGTTATGCAGGCAATGGACAGAATAATTCACGTTTGCTTTACCGTCTTCTTGTTTAGTTACATACGTTGTGGAAATTTCATAAGAAGAGAACACATCAGTTTTTTTAAAACACGTAAACTTGTTTTATATTATAAATTAGCAATTTAATAGTCTGAAATTTTGATCGAATTTATTTATTCGTCATACTTGATTTCATGTATCAATTACGTTCACTCATTACTGTGTGTTGGGTATCAAAGGAGCATTGACAATCCAATCTCTTGGAGTTAAATAACATTTCGTTTTTAACTTCTATGTATGTCAAAATGTATTATAAATTAATCACTTTCTGTAGTTAGTTTCAAAGTAAACAACATTCATAGTACCGTGTGCACTTAATAAATAATAAACTAAATTTGAGTAGTATTAGTTGCAACCTATAGAAATGATTAAAAGTAACTTAAACTGTGTAGCTACAATTTAACACTATAAATTTAACAGTACATATCCGAGATTTTGACCGCGCGACTGATAAACACGTTCTACAATAAGCCGTTACTTAATCTTTAAGTCTTAAGACGTAAGAATTGACCAGTCGAATGTGAGAAGAATAATCGACTATGATCAGTCAATTGTTCAAGACTTAAAACTTAGATAATGACTTATTGTAGAAAGTCCAATATATATCTTGAGAACTTTACGATGTTTCAAGGCACGTCGACGTCGCGACAGTAACTTGTTATCCAGGCGACGCTCCTCAACGATGTCGACAAGTCGCGTTGTCGCTTATCGTTGTCGCTAACGACGATCAGCAATGTTAGGATGATGCACGTGCAAAACAAAGCTCGCGCGCGCGCGCTCCGTGGTCGATAATTCCTTACTATCAGCGCGGACGTTCCTTCGAGATAATCGCGACGTCAACAATGAGGTCGCGTATGAGCCAAACTGGAGCTCAACTCCATTTCTGTATATAAAATTTCACAATTTTAGCATCCACAGAGCACACAGTTAATTATTTCATCAATGTTCTGTTTTATTTCGTGAAACCAGTCAATTTGGATTATGAGAGGATTTTCACCTGGTGAAATTCTCGCGCCGTCGATTATCGATAATCATAAAGAGTTCGCGTATTCCATTGCAATTTTTAATCATTCTGGTTCTTCGACGCTCTTTTCGTAGATTCTTTGCTTTGCAACGATACACATGGTCGCTGATCTTTCCCATATTTTTCTTTTATTGAGCGGTTCATCGTACAAATCTGTTTGGGTGCGTGAATTCCACCGAAAGGGATTCTCACCCCTTTAGCGCAACTTCGTGTACATCGAGTGTCGAGTGCGTCAGTGCAACAACAAGGCTACACTCGGTAGTAATCGAATCGAGTTCACGATCCGATTGCGCGAATCGACTTTCGCGCTGTTACCAGCATGTACGAGGTCGATAGACCTTTTACGTCAGATATAGCGAGTGTGCATCCACCTCGTCGTATTGCAGATCAAATGTAGATAATAGTATGTGTGTGTGTACATAAAAAAATTAAAGATACCATCGGGCGTCTATCGTAAGATCAAGAGATGGTTCGCCATATTTAAGACGATATTCGTAGTTCATTCTTAAGTAATGTCTTAAGATACTAATACTGTCCTTTGATTGGTTCACGACATTTTAAGACTGTACTTAAGACGGTCCTAAATATAAGATCCGACTATGAATATCGCTCTTAGATACCACACCATCGTTTCGCATGGAAGATTAAAGGCATGATGTATACACTTGGCTTACATCGGAGCATCGAAAAGTTCTCGAGTAATAAAACATTAATTGTTTTGTATATAAGACCCGAATATTAACGTTCATTATTTAATCCAGTAATAAATTTTTATTTTTTCTATAGTTTGTGTTCTAAAAAAGTACAGCTTTGGCCAAAAATATTAGGCACTTTATTTATTAACTATTATTTACAGTTTTAGCTTGAAAATTGATTTATAGCATTTGCTGTAAATTATCCTTCGTTTCAAGAAACCTTTTTAATTTATGTGTAATGCCTGTAACCAATAGATAACAATAGTAGGTAAAAGAATTCGAAATAAATGAAAATATATAGGTATCTATAGATATTATTTCTGGCCAAGACTGTATATCCTGGGGGGACAATAAACGGACCACAAATTAGAATATTATTAAACGGTTTACTATACAAACTAGATTGCTTACAGAAGCTTAAGATAACGCATAGCTTGCCATAACATAACTTTATACATAAAGGTATTATAACGGTATCGCATCAACGCAAAATTATGGACTTACATGAATGTGTATTAGATTATTAACTTCCTCGTGCACGCAGCGAGATCAACAAGGATTTACAAACTCTTCATTTAGCGTTTCCACAATAAGCAGTTTATTTATATTTCTGTAAAAAAAATTGCGTTCATTATTTCTTATTTAAAAAATTTTACATCTTTC